AGAATAATAATCCGTGTTAGAGAATAATATATATATATATATATATATATATATATATATATATATATATATATATATATATAAGTGATGATTCTTTATATTTTGAATCATTTAAAATATTTAAATAAAAGAAATTAAATTTGATTCATCTCCAAAAAATACATTCTTTCTTTTATTGAATCTCATATCATTTTTAATATTATTTTAAAAGTATATTATGTTGATAGAAATGATCATAACTAAAAAAAAGAGATTTTTACTGTCAAATAAAATGAAAAGATTTATATGCTAGTTGAAATTATGAATGATATATAAATTATTGATATTGAAGCAATAAATCAATAATATTTCATCATTGAAAAGTAATCCAGATTAAACTATCTAAAAGAAAAAATCTGCTACAAATGGAAACAAAACTCACATTATTGGAGAAGAATATTTGAATTTTACTTATATTTGAAATATTAATCCTATCTTGGTTGTTTCTTTCTTAAATTTTAATAGTTTATCTGTTTTCTAAATAAAATAGTTTATGCTTTGCGGAAACAATTTGGGAAAACTCATGTATTTTTTAAAATATTCATACAAAACAAATCATTGATTATGGTACTAGGAGAAAAAACTTATATTATCCAGATTTGATGTCCCTGATGACATGCTTCATTTGAGTATTTTTAAAAGATATATTTCTTAGTTCATTTAAAAAGCATGATATTTATAGTTTTCATTGTGATGCTTTTGAACTTTCAAAAAGTCATAAAACTTCATTTTTGTTAATTTTAAATAAAAGTTCTCATAAACATTTGTTGCACATTATTCATTATTAAATGAATATTTTTTCTCCTTTTTTATTCAATTACTTATACATTTTTTTTATTAAAAGTTTGATATATTATCTTACAACTCATTGTTATATTGTGTTATCATGTTTTTCTATATAAATCATTATATCATAAACATTTTCTTTTCTATAATAAATCACCACTTTAATATATTTGTTGAGAGAATTTTTATTTTGGTACACAATAATGTCATTTATGTGTCTAATAAACTAAATCTTATGATTTTAATATTGATATAATTTTAATATTATCTTGATATAATCAAATATGATATAAATAATTGTTTAATATTTCTTTAATATGATATAAATATTTTGAAAAATTATTTTATATAATATAGAATAATTGACTATCTACAGTAAAGCAAGAGAAGTCTACCAAATATAAAAAGAAAAAAGTTTGACTCAAATTAAGATGGTTTGTATAATTAACTTTTTATACAATGAGACACATAAGTTGGAAAAATTATTCAAGAAAATAATTCTCAAAATTAGATCGACATATTAGTAATCACATCAAAAAGGTAAATTCAAATTTCATCAAAAACATCCTTCTAATGCAAGCTAATATGAAAAGACAGTTTATTGAGCTCATCGTAATAAAATTTTCTCTTAGCAATGAGTAAATGTTAAAGGACGAAACATGTTGAACTTGTCAAAACAAATTTTTCCTCAAGAAGTGAGTTAATATAAAAGGGTATAACTACCACAACTCATCAAGATACTTGCTTAATATCAATTCACATAACACAAAGTTAATGTTAAAGGATGCATATGCTACAACTCAAGAAATATTGGATTTTTCGGCGAACAAATCCGTCGGATATATCCATTATTATCAAATTAAGAGAATTGTCTATCACTAGTAGGATTCAAACCCAATATCTTAAAATTGAAGGCTAATACTCCAACCACTAAATTACTACGATTTTCCGATAATAACTTACAAATAAATTATATTTATATATAAGTAAATATATATCCGTATAAATATATAAATACAAATATATTTATATATTTATATGTTTTGATATATTTATATATTGATATATTTTAAATATTTACCGACAAATATATCCATCGGTAATCACTCATTTTCTAACGACTACATATCTGTTGATAATAATGATTTTCTTGTAGTAAATATGAAATATGTTGACATGCTTGTCTAGTAAGAGACAAGAGTGAAATGACATATTTATTACAACATGTCATCACTAAACGTAGTTTTCACAACACATCAATATTTCAACCCATTACAACAAGTTCATAGCAAAAGCTAAATAAGGTGACAAGTTTACATAAAAAGCTAAATATGGACTCATCCTAGCTTATCTTATACAAATTATTTGAGTTATACATTAAAATTAGGTTATGTATTATTTGAACATATCATTATATTATTATCTGAATATGTTATTACATCGTAACAATTATAAATATGTCATAACAATTATCTAAATATGTTATTACGTTATAACAATTATATGAATACATCATTATACCATAAGGATGGTGTACCATAATACTTCATATCAATAAATCAAATACATTAACATAGAACAATCATCAATCATTATGTTATTATAAAAAAATTATACATCTATAACGTGAATCTGACCATCATTATATACTTTAAAAATATGTTTCTTTACTTCAAGCACACTTTAATGTTAAAATAAATACACCTTAGTCATGACTTTAAATTAAACATATATTGGTTGTTGTTATAAATCAAGGTCAATATGACTTTGTTTATACTTTATAAATTGTTAATTAGAATGTGATAAAACTTGACAAAAATAATTGTCAACAAAAACTTATAATTATTGAATTAACTTAGTCATACGTGTAATAAATAAATTTTGAATTAAAAACTTAAATTTTTGTAAATTTTTATTAAAAAAATATTAAAAAGTAGTTATATTTATTCATATATTTTAATCAAAATTATGAAAATATATAATCATAAATGTACATTTTTATTCTATAATAATGCGACAAATACTAAAATTGATTATATTTTTAAAAAATCTATAAAATCTCAAAGAAATAATGTTTTGAGTTAAAAGCTCTATAACATTACTAACATTTGATTTTTGGTTGAGAAATTTAATTCGTTTTTTAATAAAAACGTTAAAATTTTATCATATATATTTTTAAGAGATAAATTATTTAGGTCACACCAAAACTTTTGGAACATAATATAAGGCCACACCATCAAACAAGATGTTGTTGCTAATGTCGTTAAAGTTTGTTGTAAACCTAACTTTATGACTAGACATGGTGGGTGATGCTACGCGGCTCTGACGCATCGTTGCAACATATCGTGAGTGTGTGTGTTTTCCGCACATAACGAAGCACCCCTTAAGCTAAAAGAAACACTTGTTTACCCCTTTTGTACGATTTCGTTAACTATCTTTAGTCACATAACAAAATTCTTATTATTCAAAAACATAATTTATAAAATCTAAATTTTGTGTTTAGATAGAATAGCTGAAGTTTTTTATTTACACCATTTGAAAATCACATAAAATAATTACTTTTTATTAATAAAATTACGAAAAGAGTATGAAGTTATTTATGTACTTAAACTAATTAATAACTTGAGATAATTTGTTTAATTAGAATATATGTCATGCATATCAAGATAATTAGTTTTTATGAATATTATATTTAGAAATGATGTATTCTAATAATTTCTAATTAATTGACAATATACATAAATATATTCATAAATAATATATGAAAATTAATCTCAAAATTAAATTTAATAAAATATAAACCATAAACTTTTAATCATAAATTCTAAAATCTTATTAATTATAAAATATGTTTTCCTTAAATATAAGCATAAGGGGTAGATTTTATATAATTTTATTTTAATAATAAAATCGTTTTAAGTAACTTTTGTAAAATTTTAAAAATAATTAGATATTGAATAAAAATTAATCTCTTGTAATAATGATTTTAAACTTCTTCTAATACTAGAAGATAACATATTTTGTTTTAAGATTTTTCCTCAACATCATCCATCAATCAAATTTTTAAGATTATAATTCAAATTTAAAAATAAACTTAAATGCATCAACAAGTTTAATCCATCAAACATATTTTAATAATAAAAAATAATGTCTTATAGAAATAGAATAAAATAATACACTTTTTTTTATATTAAAAAATAAATAAGGAAGTTAATGATAAGTGTAGCAAATAGAATCTAATACGAAAAAAAAAATTGATGTGTCCAATCAATAAAAAGTCTATTGCGTGGGAACCACACTGTTCGGTCAAAGTTTCAATTCATCTTTAACATGATAGTGACATAATATATGAGTTTTCTCATTTTAATTAATGGCAGTTATAAAACTTTTTATAAATTTTTATTTAAATATTAAAAACTTTAATTTATGTAAATTAATATTACATTGCATTTTTATTACATTTTAATCAATATGTTTTAAGTGTGCATTTTTTAACATAAATTAATCATAAAAATACTTTATATTAACAATATGATTGTCAAAATTATCATAATAATAATCTTTATTTTTTTTCTTTTATATAAATCTATTTTTAATCATGTTAATGATATAGAATAAGATGATTATTTTTTATCTGGGAAATTTAAGAAAATATCTGTAGTTTAGATTCTGGGAAAGAAAAAAAATCTTAAAATACACAAAAGAAAGAACTGAGCTTAAATTAAATTAAAGTACAAGAGTAATTAATTAATTATTAAAAATAAAATAAAGTTTGGAATTTCTACTTTTGAAAAAACAATGGCTGTTGAAAAATCACACGAGGGATACTCGGGGTAGGAGAGAGAAAGCGATATTTATGTATGTATGAGAAAAAATAAAGAAAAAGAGAAAGAGAGTGTGAACAATGATAGCCATAAATAAATATACATATCATTCCAATTTTTAGCTACAAACCTTCCTTCTTTGTCCCTCTCCTCTACCCAACACACAAAATATCACACCACTCCACCACCATCACCGTCGCACTCTCACCGCCTTCTCACCCTATCCCTCACACAACAAAACAAAACTCCCTCTTAAACACGAGATCCTAAAACCTTTTGTTTTTTTCCTTTATTTTCTTTCTTTCCCGTTTTGCCCTTTCGTTGCTCTCGTATCTATTCTCTCGTTATTCCATGGCTTCTACGCGTATTCTTCTTATTCGTCTCCTCCTTTGCGTGTCTGTGATCCAATTTGCGTCTGCGTTTTCTTCTTCTTCTTCTTCTTCTTCATCCCCTTTGTGCCTTCTCCAGCCACCATCGTTTCGCTACAATCTCCAATCGCAGTGCCCAATCTTGATCCCGTCGAATCCGCCTCTCCAGGTACCTCGTTTTTCAGATTTTGTGTTAATTTCCGCGTGTTGAGGTTGTTTGCGTTGTGTGTTTGCGGATTGTTGGATTTTGTTTTGATGTTTGGATTGTTTGATCTTTAACCTAGCTGCCAGTTATTTGTATCAATTTTTCATGATGATATGCGTCGGTCTGATGTATCATTACGAATTCGTTAAATTTCGTTGTGAAAGAGACAGAAAGCGAGATGTGGAATCTGATGTGTTAGATTTGGAGTAATTGTTTGCGTAGTTTTCTTCTGTCTAAAGAAATTCATCGAAATAATGTGTTACTACTGATATTGACGCACCAGAGATCGCTAAATGGTCAGGAACAATGGCGATTTGTCGTTTGGTTCATCTAATTGACCTCACTTGATTGGATAGGGCTTTTGTTGCTGCTCTTGTTGTTTGGATGGTTTGATGGACCTGGGTTCTGAATTAAACACGTGGGAATGAGGATTCGGTTTTTGCATCTTGTAAATGTTGATTAATAGGGGTGATTTTCAAACATGTAAATGATTTTTAAGTTCTTGATTTTGCAGGCTTGTGGAGATAATTTCCTTCTTTTGTCTATTTTTTTTATATTTTTTAAAATTTTTGTGAAAAAATATTTAATTTACTGTTATGCCTTGGACCTTGAAGATATTTTCTTTAAAATAAAGATTGCTGTGCTTAATTACTTGTAACACAATTAGCTATTCTACTGTTTGTGGTTTTGTTGGATTATTTGGCATCAACCTGAGATGTTAGATCAGCTAATTAAAGCAACAAAATTGCGGAATATTTATTGGGTTTAGGATGGGGGATGTAATTAAAGCCTTCCTTGGCATCATTTTGGGTCTTTTACCAAGCATGTAGACAAGATAGATAATTGTATTTTATGTTGACCTGATTATTTTTACTGGTTGTCAAGGTCGCATTGGTATAACAATAAAATATGTTCATTTGATGTCCTTTAATAACCTGCAAAGAATGTTCCATAAGTATCCATCAAATTAATCAACTTGTGATAAAAATACATATGGTTTATTGCTTTATTTCATGAGCCCATTGCATAAATTTCTCGTTTTGTAACTCTCAACATTAAATTTCTTAGCTTGCTAATATAGTGTTGTTCACTTTGATGATGTTCTCTAGCATCTTCTGAGCCACATGATGAGACATTTTTCATTGTATTTTCTTCATTGGGGGTGGAGGATTACCTCACCAACATATATTTCATTTTTGAGGATTTCAATCAAATTATTCACATTGTAGCTTTAATCCAAATCCCAAATAATTTCATTATTTTACATATCCTTGTTATCACATAACCTGTCAGTACAGGTTATCACATATCATACATTATTTGCCTCAATTCTTGATGTACAGGTTATATATTTATTATATTTATTGGATAATTTCGCTTAATACCAAGTGGTTTTAAGATGAAAACTGACTATTATATCATGTTCTTCTACATGTTTACAAGAATATCATTATGTTTGACAACCTTACCACCATTGTCCATCTTCTTTGGAGTTTCTTTTGCTTTTCCAACCATTAGGATGGCAAAACGGTCAAGCCCGTCCTATCTCTAGACTCCCAAAAACGGGATGAGGCGGGATGGGCCTGACTGGTGTAGTCAGGATGGGCTACAGACCCCAGCTTGCCCCACCAAAGAATGGGCGAGTGGGCAAGCCTGCCAATAATTTTATATATATATATATATATATATATATATATATTTTAAAATATATCTTTAATTATATAAATAATTTTTAAGTTTTTATTTATTAATTAGTATTTTTATTAGATAAATTGAAAAAATTGTTATATTTATGTGTTAAAATAACTAATTATAATCAATAATTTAAACTTAAGTTAAGTTTTATAATTTAAATTATAATATTATAATATATTTATATATTTCAATAATATAACACAAAAAAATATAATATTTATAATTATTATCTTTTTTATTTTAATTTTAATATATAAATATATTTTTAAAGCAGGTCAACCCACCCTTAGTCCGCTGAGTTGGCGGGTTAAGCGGAACATGCCAAAAAAGGTTGACGGGCTAAAATCACCAACCTGTCCTGCAATTCAGCGTGTCGAGCCTAGCCTGTTTTACCATCACTATCAACCATTCAACAATATGTCAAATTTTGTCCATCCTCTTGAATTTCTAGTTCTTCATAATTCATATTACACGTCAATCCTTACCCATCTTTGAAAAGCTTACAAAAATAGTTCTCTTAAATCTCTTTGATATATTGTTCTTCAACCAGATATTTTCCTTATTCATTATTAATACATCTTCCCCAAATCTCTTGATTTCCTTTCCCTATTTTTTGAGAAGCTAATGATGTTCCATTCTTTATCCTAAGATTTTGGTAAAACTCCTCAAAAGTTCTGGACTGTTCCTCAGTTACAGCTTTCCTTGTCTCATTCTAGCCCTTCCATATCATACCCAATTTGGAGTGTTATTGCACCTATTTAGCGCCTTAAAAATTTTCTTTTTGTTTCTTATCTTGCACACTTTTTTCCATAAGATTCTTTATCTCTTGGCCTGAAACTTTTTGATTCACACAAGAGACCTTTGAAAACCGCCCTAACCTTCTTAAGACATATTATCCTTTATAAGCTTAACTAATCTGGTGATTCCCAATTAACAACCTGCAATAATTCCTTATGAAAGTCAAATGTTTATCAGCCTCGAGTTGTCATTAGTTGATTCTTTGATTTTCCTTGGGTTTTTTGTTTATGATTCTTAAAACAAACTTGGTGGATCAAAACCTTATGTTGTACAGTAAGATTCTCTCTTGGAATTACCTTGCAATCTCCTTTGCATAAAATATCAATTTGCAACCTTCAGGTTTTACTCTAATAAACCCCAACATTAGGGATAAACTTTTAGGACATTGGGTTTTCACTCAAGTTGTCATATCCAAAAATGAAATAAGAGAATAATAGGACACGTGAGATAATTCTGGTATTATTTCTTCAAAAGGTAATAAAAAATACAGTAAGGTGATGATCCAAATGCTGCAGAGTAAGCTCCTTCATGGAAAACAACATTCCCTGTCTATAACATAATCCCCCTTCCTATCTCCTATTTTTCTCCCTTATATTCTCCCTACTCTTCTCACTCATTAACTGATTCTGTTACATCTTTTGCCACCTCAACATTTCTCTTCATACCCTTTTTTTTTTCCCTTTCATACACCCTCAAAACCTTGGGCTTAATCTGCCAACATTGAAGCCCGTATTTTCGGTCCTATCATAAGTAGGAGTAAAACTAAGTATATGGACGTTGCAAGTTTAGCATGAGATGAAAGGAATATGACTTCGACGTAAATATGTGAGAAAATGTCATACAACATGTTTCTAAGTTTATATTTTTGAGATCAATAATACAAAGTGATGGGAAAATGAATGAGCATGTCACACACAGGATACAAGTGGGATGGCTAAATGGAGAAAGACCAGGATTATGTGTTCATAAAGTCCCCGTACCAAGCTAAAAGGCAAGTTTAGTTATATCACTACTTATCTATCTGGCTACATTCTATCCCAAGAAAAATGTGGAACTAATAGGTGAATCTGTTAAGACTGATGTGTGGCTATGGACAAAAGGACAATAAATTAAATGATTGTATACAAGGTAGATGTTGTGGTGCCATTGAGTAGATATGATTGCATAGTTTATAGTTTTGTGGAAAGGGGGAAAGGGAGATTGAAAAGGACATTGTGGGAAGGTGAGGAGAGAGGGATCTCATGGTTAATAAAATCTTTTGTGGGTTTGGTCTCTTCAACCAATCTGAATAACATCATTGGATCCGTGTAACTGATTTTACCTAACAAACACTTCTTCCTTTATTTGGACTGGCTATGAGATCATATGTGGATTTTCTTGCATGTAAAAATAAAAGGGTTGTGGTAAGCTGTCAAATGTAAACAGATACTGAGCTCTAATGCACAAACCAAGATTGAAGAAAGAGCAGAATTGGCTGGAAATGTCAGGACAGACATTAGAGTCTGATGAAAAGGTTAAGATTATGTATGGATATGACTGTGGAAGAAGGGTTTTCAACCCTATAATGTTTTCAAGCAAAACACACGTAAGAAAATGGGGAGAATTCACAATATGCTGTTTCAGGGGTAAAATGGGTTTCTCATCATCATGGTAGTTGCCACAACCGCAGATATTATAACTACTCCACTATATTATATTGAAGATTACAATGAGTAGTTATTTTCTATGGTCAAATTCTTTAATGCCTTGCCCTTAAAGATATCATATCATTATCCCAACTATTTAATTAACATAGACATGTATAAATTTATTGTTATGCCACACAATTGGCTTGTTAGGTTAGGTCACATGTTGGTCAGTCTCAAATGCTAAGGAGGTCTCATTTTTATGTACTCATCATGAAACAACAGTTGTTGGTTTAACATCGCATTTTGAGTTTATTATTGCCCATTGCAAAATTTTTTGGTTGGAAGTAAGGATTTTATGTACATTGATAATGGTAGTAAGTTTCCTATTTTAGAATCAATTATTTGAATTTTCATTATTTTTTAAGCCCGACGTAATTCTTTCTGACTATATGAGTACATGTCCCAGGCATTTTTATGTAGACAAAATGCACTGTCTGTCATTATTGTGTATATAGCTTTGATTATACAGATTTGAATAACTATTTATTTCATTTTAAGATTTAATCATGTTTTCTGGACCCATGCGAAGTTGCATATTCTGAAGACATTAATTTTTCATTTTGATTTGTTTAGGTGGATGGAAATTATTTAGATGAAGTTCTGTCTGGCAGAAAGAGGAATGAGTATATCTCTATACTCTTCTATGCTTCCTGGTGCCCTTTTTCTCAAAAAATGCTTCCTCAATTTGAAATTCTCAGTTCCATGTTTCCTCAAATAGAACATTTGGTTCTCGAGCAATCATCAGCTTTGCCAAGGTTATGAAGCTATCCCTGCTCTTATTTTTAAGTTTCTGGATACGGATGAAACTAATTTCTTTTGCTGTATGCTGTTTGCCTGGTATGGGGATGGACTACAATTTGATGTAGTTAAAATCCTGTATCAGCTATATCTAATTTCCTGTGGAGGAATGCCATTGCTATACTATGACACTCTTTTATTACCAAACTGTATATATTAATAGAGTAAACGCATGTTCAATTCACTAAATATGAATAGGCTATGTAAAGAATAAAACCTAAATCATTTTAGGAGAATCTACATGAATTTCACCCAATGATAGCGTGTCTGACATTGTGTCACTACCATAATCAATTTTCTGTTAGTTAGGCTAATGCCGTAAGTAATAGGATATGTTCTGTCCTTTTCTACATTGTATTGTATGCATGGATTAATAATTCAAAAGAAATCATGTCATACTCAAAGGACTATCTTTATAATTGGCTGTTGATGTCTACATTTGTTTTGCTTTGCAGCTTGTTTTCAAGATATGGAATCCACAATTTGCCTGCAATATTACTAGTGAACCAGACATCAATGTTGAGATATCATGGTCCGAACAATCATCTCCTTTCCATTTCAGAATATTACGAAAGAAACACGGGTAAGCATATCCCAACCCTTGTTTGTAAAATACTACAATGTATATATGTATTATTTGAAAACAACAAATTTTCGCCCCCAATTAATAACTCAGTTGTAGTTTTACAGACTTCAACGACTAATAGTATTTTTTACCTTATTTACCTCCGTTGACCACCATATCTGCCTGTCTCAGGGTTTGCAGCAAGTATTAATGTTGTTGATCAACCTAGCAGCGTGATGAGTGATGAAAATTCAACTGGAAACCTTTTTGGTTTGTCTCTGAAAGAAACATGGAGCAGGGACCCCTACTTGTTATTCTCTGTATTGTTTCTTTGTTTGAGGTTACTCCTCTTTACATTCCCCAAGATTGTCTTACGTCTCCGAGCATTCTGGGTTTCATGCATTCCTCATCTGAACCTGCAAATATTTGGCGAGACGAGCCAAGTGATGGGACGTGTGCTCCAGATGATCGATGTCAGGAGGATTTGGAACAAGTTAAGACTGTGCAAGACAAGGACTTTTCATGGAAGGGCAATGAGTGTCCGCGTTTGGGCTTCATCTCTGGCTTCTGTTTCCCTTGGTGAGTCATCATCAGCCAGGTCATCCACACAAGGTTTGAACTAACAACCTGCCTATTATGTCATTTTTGAGGGTAGTTAAGAGTTTATTATTATCCGTTATATTATATCCTCAGGCTTGCAGTGAAGCTTGGCAGCACATAGTCTTCTTCTCTTTGCTAATTTTGTTGTAGTACTAATAGCCAAATGTTGATTTATGTTTTAAGCTGGGTTTTGAGAGGAAGCGAACAGGCATGTAAATTTGAGTAGTGTTTCCTTTCGTGTAAATTAGTTGTTTCTGAATGAAATCATACACACGTTACTGTGATATAAGCATCCTCACGATCCTTCCCCAGTACTCGTTTTAAGCAATTTGAAGCACAACCTACTTCATTATTTTAGAAGTCTGGAAGAAAGAAAAAACTGCTGCAGGTATTATCTATCAACTAATTTGTCCACTAATCTTGTGTATGGCTGAGTAATAAAAATCCATCCCATCATTATAGTAAGATATTTCTAGTACTCTCTTTTAGACGATTCATTTTGATTGAAATGGATTAGAAACTACCAAATTTTGTAGGTTTTACATTTTATTTAATCAGTTTTACTACTGATTCTTATTAGTGGCATCCTTATGCATCCGAAACACGGCCCATGTGTTTATGTGGGGAGGCAACTAAAGTGAACATTCGAAAATTGCTATTAATTTTGGTTGTGTCTAAGCGTGCAGTCTTTTGCAATAGAAACCGGTTCGTCGTTGTTTCAATTTCAGGTTTTGGCTGATGGAATAGCAGGAAGAGTCATGCAACGTTTTTCATATGAAATTAGCCCCATGAATTAAGGAGGAGTTAATGTAGTTTCTAAAATTACAAAAAATCCCATTTGAGTCTGTGGAAAGCAAATTACAACTAGTCTTTATTGTTGTAAGTTCCAAGGCTGATATGATAGGGGGAACAGTAACTTAAAAACTACCTAAAAAATAGTTGTTTGATATCAAACAGATTTAAATTATTTTTTTGTAATTCTAAAAACTAAGTTGATCTGTTTTCATAATTGATTTGATGATTAAATATGATCTATTACCCTTTCTGTTTCAATTGGTGGTTACCTATGATGCGTATTACTTAAAATCGAAAAACATTAATCAGAAAATCATTCTGTCATGGACACGAATAATTCCCTGGACCTTATTCTTTGTTTCCCGTGTCGCCCGATCTGGGAGTGAAAAAGGTTTTTAATGTAAGATCAAAAGTAATATGTGGAATCAAAGACTTCAAAAGATAAATTTCTTACACAACTTTCAGAAGCATAAACTTACAATAATGTGATCTCATGCAGCGTTTCCTAGTTATCAATGAGGACTTTCGTTTTGGTTAACTGTGCCGTCTTACCCTTTTTATTGAATCCTTATAGGAAATTTTTAGAGAATATTCTTTTCTATAAAAAGATTGAAGTACTTTGTGAATAATTATACGTTTTTATAAATTTTTTGAAAGAAATTAAAATGTTAGAAATTAAGTATGGACTAATTAAAAAGTAACAAGAGAAGATGATTCAGTGAAAAGTATCGATGCTTATAGTGAGAGTTAAAAAACAAAATTACTGGTAGTTAAATATTAGTAGAAATTTAACACTGAGATTTAATTGTAGGTGGATATTTAAGACCACATAGTTGAGATTAATTAAGTACTTAATAAGTATTATTATTTTAATTTAAAAGTGATAGTAATTTGACCTGTGAATAGGTTAATTTGTAATACAATGAAGAATATATAAATTTTGAATTAAACCTGAGTTTTCTCTTGAGATGATTTTTGGTGTTGAGTTATATAAATGCATTTTCGATCTTATTAGAATAATGTATGAGGATCAATTTCATAATTTATCACCCACCTACTCATATTTTTTTAGTGCAATGTTAATATCTTTCTCCTTATTAAATTTCTAAATGATCTTATTTCCATTTTTGTATCAATTGATACTAGAGCTCCAGGCTTGATATTTAATTAAATTGTCTTTTAGGTTATTTCTTTTAAATGTGATAGGTATAAGTGTTTATATAATAGTTTTTCTATTGATAATTTTGTTACACAAATGAAGAGGAAGTTGAAAGAAAAATTTGAGAGGAAAGAAAAAAAGAGAATGTATATAAAGATGGAGATAATGTTTTATCAATGTTAAAAAAATATTATATTTGTGATGAAAGAGAGAGCTTGAGAAAAAAAAAAGAGCTAGCACAAAAGAAAAATAGAGAAGAAAAATAAATAAAAAAGAAGTTGAAAGAGAAAAAAATAAAACAAAAGGAGTTAATAGAAAAAGAAATACAAGAAAGGAAAAAGAGATGAGAGAAAATAAAAATAAAAGAAAAGGACTTGAGAGAAAAGGAAATATAAGAAAAATAAGGTAGAAGAAAATGAAAAAGTAAGAGAAAAAGAGAAAGGTAAACCTAATCATGGATATACTTTTTCTTATTATGCAAATATTGTTATTTTGTCTTTTTCAAAAAAACATAAGAAATTGTTTTTATGAGATGTTTCAAGTATTAATTTGTGTCTTTTAAAGGAAGTGTACTTATGATGATGAAGCTCTTGAAGAAGTAGGAAATAATATAATTAAAAGGGTGTCAATATAATTTTAAGGTTATTCTTTGTTTTTATTTTATTTTGATTAAGTGAGTTGAATGAATTATCTATCTTGATAAAAAAATCATAAGTGAGAAGTAATGATGCTTATAGTGTAATTAAAAAGTAAAATTAGTGGGAGTTAATTAATAATGAAATTTAAGATTATATAATGAAAATGTCAGTAAATATTTAAGACTCCATAGTTAGAGTTAATTATTATTATTAAAATTTAGAGTGGTATAATAATTAGGCCTATAAATAGGTAACTTATAATACAACGAAGAATTTATGGATTTTAAATAAAACTTAAGTTTTCTTTTGAAAAGGCTTTTGTTATATGATAGATAAATATTATTACGTAAAATAATTTGTTATTATTTTGAGAATATTTTGTAGTATTAGATACCTAAATTTTAACTTGTCGAGACTAGGTTACCTTCCTCCGTTTCTGAAAAACCTATTCGTCACTGTTCATCTCCTTTGAACCATTTTTTCCCTCTTTCTTCCACAACTGTCCATCCATGGCTGACAATTCCAAATTTTACTCTGTCCTTACTATCATAAACGTGAAACATCTCATTCCTATCACTTTAGACATGGAAACCAGCCAATGTCAATCATGAGCAACCTTATTTAAGGTTCAAGCTAAAGTTCATTCCGTACTTGGACATATCATCCCTCCCACAGAGGTCACTACTATAACATTATACCAAATAGTCAAGGTCGTTGATCTCCCTTTATGAAATCGCCTTGATATTATTGTTCTCCCATGAATTTATGCTATTGTATCTCCTGATATTCTTACATCGATTCTTGTGACTGATGATTCAGTTGCTAAAGTTTGGCAGAGTTTAGCTAACCTATTTTAAGATAACAAAAACACTAAGGTAGTATATCTTAAAACTCAATTTACGAACACGAACTTAGCAAATTTCTCCACAACCTCTGCATATTGTAACTGACTCAAATTTCTTGTTAACCAATTATCCAATGTTGGGGCTCTTCTTTCATATCAACATCTAGCGCTCTGTTTGATCGCTGGCTTAACCAAAACATATGTTGATTTTGTCACAGTTATGCAACAAAAAGATGACTTACCAAGTTTTACTATAACATGTTCTTGATTGAATTAAAAGAGACCATGATTAAGGAGCGAGCAACTCGTGAATCTAGTTCCTTCACATTCTTAACCATATATGAAGGCTCTAATTCATAGTTGCAACAACATCACAGTAATACCAATAATTTCCAAGGCCGTCATAATACCAAGTTCAACAAGAAAACTAACCAAGGTAGTGGCAACAACACCCGCGATGGCAAAGACGGACATGACAATGTGGGGGTTGGGGTGCCGGGGTTGGAAAAATTGGTGCACCATAGCAGTTGCCGTAGTATCAAGCCTTCCCACCATATCAACATCCCTTCCTTAATCATTGGACTGGATGAGCCTAACCTCCATGCCCTTATATTACAACCTCATGACAACCTAAACCTCCACGCCAAGCTAGTGTTCTTGGGGACACACCTACGGACATTAATGCGGTTGTGCATACTTTTGCGATCTCTCAACTAGATGAAAATTGGTATATGGACACAGGTGTTACCTCTCATATGACGGTAGATCAATGTACACTCTCATCTTATTTTGTTTAGAGTAAAGATCACAATATTGTTGTTGGTAATAGTCATTTGATTCCTATTTGTGGTCATGGAAACATTACATTATCCCCACCCCACCTTCTTCAAAATCTAAACAATGTGTTACATGTACCAAAACTCATCAAAAACCTCATATTTGTTTGTAAATTTACCATTGATATTATGGTTTCTATTGAATTTGATCCTTTTGGGTTTTCGGTGAAGAATTTGCACATGGGGAACCATGTAATGAGATGTAACAACTTTGGAGATCTCTATCTCGTCCATCTCAACTATCTCCCCACTAACACTTTCTTCAACATTTACATCTTTGTCTTTCACTTTGTAGCACAACTAAACTCTTTTCTTCATCAAAATTTCATAAATTGTAATAAAGACAGTCATGGTTTTTCCACTCTTTGTTCTCTTAGTAAATATGTAAAATTACCATTTAATGCCTCTTATTCTTTTCCAGAATTTCACTTTGATATTATTCACAATGATATTTGGAGATCACCCATATCTAACTATTCTAGTCATCGATATTACATATTATTTCTTGATTATTTTAGCAAAGTTTTGTGGACTTTTCCCATTTCTAAAAAAAATCACAAATTTATTCCATTTTTTAATCTTTCCAAAATCTAATTAAAACCAATTTGAAAGGAACATTAAAATTTTGCAATGTGATAATGGAAAGGAATTTTCTAATGATTCATTTAAAAAACTTTGTAAACAAAGTCAAATGCAATTGAGGTTATCTTGCCCTCATACCTCTCCTCAAAATGGTATATTTGAATGACAT